TGAAAGAAGCTTCTGGCATGTTTGTAATTTCTAACTTGCATACAAAGGATTATGAATAAAGTAAATAAGAATTTACTGCTCTGGGTGATTTTCAGTAGGTCATCAAGATTTTATGGCTTTGGTAGTGGCTGGTAGTGTTTATTACTTTAGCAAAGGTTTACAGAGTTTAAAAGAAGCGATTTGCATCTTTTTGTATGCCTTTCTCCAAATGGAGATACTGGTATATACCTAGATGGTCTTTGGTCAGAGAAGATGGGGGTCTTCTTTAAAATTGGATGATTTTGCAATCCAAGTATTTCAATGATAATCTCTGTACATTTCTCCCAATTTGAACATGCTCAGCCATTAATACACAATTTTGCTTGACAAAATCTATAGCTAGTCTTGTATTCATAATAGTATAGATATGTGCATGTTGATGATAATATAGCATGTTCTTCTAAATGCTGAGTAGATTTTGTGCTGTTCTCTAATACACTGTATTCTGATGGCCTTCCTCAGCCCAGTGTCCAATGAATTTAGATGAGACACTTATGGCAATGCCACTCTGGGGAAGTCCATGTAGTGAAATATAATTCTTCATAGCCTCTTTAGAGAACTTTGGATGCCCCTGGTGACAATTTCCAATCCCGTGATTTTGTGATTCTTTCTCACTTGCAACCCAATCTGAAATTTATACTCAGAAGCCACCCACACCCCACCCCATTTTAATAGGATTTGCTGCTTACTTTGAGTTTATTTTTTTAAGCTTTAGAACAACTATCATTTTAGGCTTTGAACAAGGATCAAGTATGTTTGTTAATTTATAATGAAAGCAACATAATTTATAATGAAAGCAACATAGGAGCCAATTTTTATGGATAAATGACCTAGCAATATGAGAATCTGCAGACAAATCTGTAGCTTATGGCACATTGAAAAAGTGATTAGAACAAGTTATTACAATAGGGCATGGTAACTTCTATCTCCATCAACATAGGGTGCAACAGTATGAGATCCTGATGCAATGTTAGCTCTAAGAGCCCTTGGCAGATTTGTCCATTGTTGATAAGTGACATGCAGTGTCAGCACAAGAAAAAATATTGTGTTTCTCTAGGAAGTTCTGGCTCTGAGACTTGTGAAAAATACTTTGAGAACTTCTGGACATTTTCCTAGAAATATCCTAGAAGACATCCTAGAAATGTTATGTTGGATGAGATGCTTCTTGAGAAATCACAGTAGAGCATAGGGAAATAAGCTCAGGCAACCAAAAATTATCTTTTTCATTGCTATGGATATTTTATATTCTCTATGAATTTTTGCAGTGTTTTGTGGTTGAATTAAGTATCACCCTTGGCATTGTTACCTGCTGTCAACTTGACTTTGACTTAAGGTGACTTAAGTATCAGGTCACCTTTTACTGAGTTGTTCTAACTATAACAGTGGTTCTCAACCTTCCTAATGTCGTGATGCCTTAATACAGTTCCTCATGTTGTGGTGACCCTCCAACCACAAAATTATTTTCATTGCTATTTCATAACTGTAATTTTGCTACTGTTATGAATCATAATGTAAATATCTGATATGCAGGATCAGGCCCGTAGCCAGGATTTTGATTCGGGAGGAGCTGAGTTTGATTCCGGGGAGGGGGGGCTGAGTCTGAGTGAAAGAGGGTCTACCCTAGCAAACCTTTTGTATTGTTACCCCAATACCCCCATGCATATGGTATATATTGAGCATGGTGATCAGATCATGATATGAATAAACATAACAGTTTAAATAATGTACCAGTAAGGCCTTCTTGCAGACCACCATGAGAATTTCGGGGGGGAGGAGGCTTCAGGGTCTTCAGCCCCCCCACCACCACCGTGCAGGATGTATTTTCATTCACTGGACCAAATTTGTGTGATTTTGTCATTTGGGAGTTGTAGTTGTTGGGGTTTATAGTTAACCTACAATCAAAGAGCATTCTGAACTCCACCAACGATTGAATTGAACCAAAATTGGCACACAGAACTCCCATGACCAAGAGAAAATACTGGAAGGGTTCAGTGGGTTTGAGTTTGGGAAGTTGTAGTTCACCAATATCCAGAGAGCACTTTGGACTCACACAATGATGGTTCTGGACCAAACTTGGCACAAATATTCAATATGCCCAAATGTGAACACTTTTGGAGTTTTGGGAAAATAGACTTGGCATTTGGGAGTTGTAGTTGCTGGGATTTCTAGTTCATCAATAATCAAAGAACATTCTGAACCCCACCATCAAGATAATTGGGCTAAACTTCCCACACAGCACCCCCATGACCAACACAAAATATTGTGTTTTCTGATGGTCTTTGGTGACCCCTTAGACACCCCTTCATGACCTGCGCAGGTTCCTGACCCCCCAGATTGAGAAACACTGATCAATAATGCGGTATTGCTTCCCCCCCCCCTATTTTCCTCTACCTTAACAAGTACTAGTGTATTTTCTAGTGAGCCATATCTTCTTGTGATATGCCCAAAATATTTAACCATTTTGGCTTCTGAGGAGAATTTAGGCTTGATTTGCTCTAGCGTCTATTTATTTGTCTTTTTAGTATTCATGGTATCCATAGAACTCTTTTCTAGCATTTCAAGTTAGTTGACTTTTTAAAAATCAGTTTAGTTATTTTGGCTTTTAGGGAGGATTCATGCTTTTTAGCAGTCCATGGCATCCATAGAACTTTTCTTCCGCACCACTTTTCACTTTCTTTGACAGTTTTCCTATTAGATTTTTTCACTGTCCTACTTTTACTACCATATATAAAAATGGAAATAAGATGGCATGGACAATCCTTTTAATATTTAATTATATATCTTTATACTTTAAACTCTTGTCGAGTTTGTTTATAGACAAATCCTTAACTTTTCTGATTTCTTGACTGCAATGTCCATTTTGATGAATGTCTGAGCCAAGGTATAGAAGATCTTGACTCTTCTCTGTGAGCTTATTTTTAAAAACTATTTGAGGTATGATTTTTCCATGAGATTATGCAGTCATATAAGGGAGGAGACACGCCTTGAAATAATTTGGTCCTCAGCTTTTCAGTTGTTTGGAGTGTTTAAAGAGACTAAATACGCACATCTTCACCATTCCTGCTAAGGTGTTCATAATGGCATCCTTGCTAGGATTTAAAATATTTCAAAATGTATGAAAAAGGAAACTATTAAGAGCTTTAAGTGAGTGAGAAGTTTTTATCTTTTTGCTATGTGTGAGAAGGTCAGCTCATGTTTTCCCCAGCAAGTGCAATAGTCAGAGGTGAGAAAACAAATGATCTATGTGACTAAATGAAAAGGTTTGGCTCTGTGAAGCATAGAAAGGGTATATATATATATTTGCAGAACTATTTTTAATAGAGTAGGAATAATTCCTGAAATACAAATACAAAATAGGGGGAAAGTTGACATAACGTTTGGTAAAGACCTTTTGGCTCTTGCTGTTCTCCATCTTCCCTTTCCTTCTGAAAGAATGATGTTCCTTTATTAATTAATGAGAAATACGCACACAGCTGTCAGAAATTTTTGATAACACTGAGAGATTGTTGTTATCTCTTATTGAATCTATATACGCATGTTTTAAATTCATTAAAGCAGACATTGTGAAATGACTGAAGGATATTCTCATTTATATAAAATGACAAATGTATAATCTTGAATATTCATTCACTAGGTGTTTTAAAGATAGCAATGGGAGCAGCTGATGTTACATGTCATGATATCTGTTTCATCTTTATTTTAAAAATTGGATATAAAGAAATCCAAAAAATCAGTTTCACTTGTCCCTGTAAAAATAATAAATTGAAGTTATATACATTTGCTCATCTAAATTAATTTAAATTAATAGCTTGTTTGGATTTTATTAAATTTGTTCAGGAATAAATGCAGTTCATAGATTCAGACACTCCATTCAAGGAAGTCTGGGGATGTATTTATATGTATATGAATGCCTCACAAGAAGATAAAAGCTCTGAGACAATCACTTAAGTTAATCAGTCTCTCCTTCTTTCTCACAGAGTACACTTTAACCAGGCTGAAATATTTGATCCAAGCTGGAAATGAGCAAAAGATGTCAATCTTATAGTGTGTGTGTAGATTTGGAAGAATGTTATTTTGCATCTGCAGCATGTAGTCATGTAGAGATGGCAAAATAATTAAGATTGTATTAGATCCTGAAACTTTTCACATTTTTCTACTGCAGTAGTTCTCAACCTGTGGATCCCCAGGTGTTTTGGCCTTCATCTCCCAGAAATCCTAACAGCTGGTAAACTGGCTGGGATTTCTGGGAGTTGTAGGCCAAAACACCTGGGGACCTACAGGTTGAGAACCACTGTTCTACTCGGAACAAACCATCATAATTACAGTTTCTGGCCAATCTTCAGACTCTGGAACAGGCAACCAGATTCCCAGAAGTGGGGCCACTTCACACAAGACCATCTCCAGCACCATTAATCAATTTTCTATACACAAAACCACCTGGAAATTATCTGCATGGACTTTAATGGGTTTTCCTCAGGAATGAGTGAACATGCATGGATTAGATTGTGATGTCCATTGCTGAAAGAGCCAGAAGTTTTAAATGTGATTTTCCTATACAGTCAATTCATTTGCAATATATTACATACATGTACTGAAAAATAGTTCCCCTTTCTATGTTGGAAGAGACCATCCCCCAATAATCATGATAAAATCTTTATAATTTACCTTTTCAATGTCTTGCATCTTTAAATTCACACATGCTTTGCCTGGTAAATTCTGCATGCAAAACTTTTAATGGTTTAAGTGGTTTGCTTTACTATTATAATGGAGTCTGTGTGCTTGTTTTCTACTTCACTGCAATTACGTATATGAATTGCTTGCATTGACAATGAGTGTTCATATGTTGAGCGGTTTCTTTTGGAAATGTTTTAAAGCTGGAATAAATATATATGCTTTTGAGTTTTTATGGTATAATCCACTCTCACACTTATTCTAAAAGTATTATTTTCTACTTTTGATAGAAAAAATGTGGCTAAGTGATGTATTTACCAGAGTTGGACCACTGAGTAAAGCTATGGAACAGCAAAGAAATAAACAGGAGCAATCCATTGGGTAAGGCATCTAACTTGTCAGAATAACAGCTAATATGTATTCTTCACAGACATTTTTTTTCTTTATGTGCTTTAAAAATTATCTTCACTTCTAACTGTGCTTTTTGACAGGGTATAATTTTAAATCATAATTTTATATACCCAATGAATATTTCAAATGTCTAACAAGAGAATTCTACAAATGATATTTCACCTGGTATATAACATCTTTTTATTGCAGCTATTCTCTCAGCATGAGTGTTTATTGATTTAATAGTGAAGTCCTATATGTGTCTGCACCAAAGTAAATCTCATTGAGCTTAGTTGAATTTACTTCCACCTCATTTCCAACAATCAAAAGTCCAATTACCAAAAATGTATCCCCTTTCTATGTTGGAAGATACCACCCACCATTTAGATACTAAATACTTTTCTAATGCTCGGTAAATAAATGGTTGGTACCTAAAATGCTAATGTAGAGACCTAATGAATGTCCCTAGAGAAGGTGTTGCATTGGTGGATGCCCTCATACAAACAGATTTTCTGCACTATTTTGTGCTTGAACTGGAGACATATGGACCAGAACCTGAACAAAAGTGTTTAAAATACAGCGTGCAGGTCCATATGGGAGCAATTAATCTCTTGGGAATCTGGTTAGAGCTTATGTAGTGCTTTCAAAGTGAAAAAAAAGTTTCAAGGCAGACTTTTAAGCAACTAGTCAAATGTTGCTTAAGAAGTCATTCAAGAATGTATTCTGGTACTCTAGCCTTCCGGGGTTTTTTTTTTAATGATAGGTGCTTCTTATACTTTCTACATGTGACATATTTCTGTCTTCATTAGTAGTAGGAAAGTAGCAGTGAGTAAACTGCTTGTGTCTCCCTCTTACCTCACTACTAGGAGCATGCCAGTATTATTTTATCTCTCGGTCTAGGGAAACAGTGGCCATTTATGTATTGGATTCTAATTTTCTTCAACCTCAGTCAATTTGACAGTGGGTCAGAGATGTTTGGTAGTGTAGTCCTGTAATACCTGGAAGCCTTACTCACTTAAAGCTTTACTAGAAAAAAAATCCCAAAATCTCTGGAACTGGTAGTCCATTGTGGTCTCCAGTGTCACAATACACTTTAGGGCTTTATCTGGTCCTGGGAAATCAAATGGACCCATTCAGGGAAATTATGCTTTGCTATCTTTGAGAAGAATCAGGAGGGTTCTGCTCCTCCTCTCTTATCTTTGGACTTACTAGTTGTTTCCACATTTCTCCAGGACATTGCAGCAACTTGTTTCAATACTGGCATTTGTGGTCAGACTACCTGAGCTGGCCTTTGGGATTAATCAAAGAAGATAGTGCTATTAGTTTGACATTACCACAAACTATCTCCACATTTTAAATATTTCTTCTCTTGGTTTCATGGAATTTAAAATGGTGAATGTGTTCTATATAAACCATATAATGCAGTTCAATGCAGTTCAAGCTGCGTTATATGGTCAGTGTAGAACCAGCCTGAGTCAACATGGTCACTGGCTGTACTAGCAAGAATGTTATGGAAACTGTTAAGTTTAAACATACCTTTTCCAATTTCTGATGTAATGTGCCATGTGATATTGGAATTGAGGTTATGATGTGCAATTCAACTCACATTTTGGTATCATGTCATTTGTTGATACAGCTAGAAAATTATAACTTTTAATTAACTGTATAGTTTTTGTCAATATCGGAATGTTAATCAAAATAAAGTTTAATATACCAGTACTTGGAATGAACCAACCAGTTAAACATTTTTATTGCACTAGTTTAAATGTAAGAGTGCTTGCAGACAGGGTTTAAACCCGCTTCAGAGCAGATTAGAGAAACCTGCTCCAAAGCAGGTTTAAATCCCCATATCCTTTCCAAAGACCCGGACTGTGGAGACAGACTCCTGGGACTGAGAAAACAGTCCCAGGAGTCTGTCTTCATAGGTCCAATACCCCATTGTTAGGCGATCCCTCATTGTCTGAGTAAGATTGTCCTCCAAGTTCGGTGTCCTGGCAGTGGGTACGTAGGTGACTGTGGAGCCCTATTCTTGACCTGCATGTTCTCCTGCAGTGAGGGCATCGGTTTCCAGGTGGAAGGCGGTCCCGGTCGGGGTTAGCTTGATTTGCCTTCCTCTTGGCACATTTCTCTCTTTCGCCCTCCATTCATGCCTCTTCAAATTCTGCAGCGCTGCTGGTCACAGCTGACCTCCAGCTAGAGCGCTCAAGGGCCAGGGCTTCCCAGTTCTTGGTGTCTATGTTGCAGTTTTTAAGGTTGGCTTTGAGCCTCTCTTTAAATCTTTTTTCCTGTCCTTCAACATTCCATTTCCTGTTCTTGAGTTCGGAGTAGAGCTACTGCTTTGGGAGACAGTGGCTGGTCCAGTGGAATGGATGGTGGAGAAAGACCTGGATCTAATGAATTTGGGACAAAGCAGGTTTTTCCTGCTTTGTCCCCAATCAATTCACTTTACCTGTGGTGTCATTTGGATGCCTCAGCTAAAAGTCTGTCAGGGCCCACATTTTGAGTCCTGTCTGGAAGGACCCCAAGTGATGTAAATACAGAATTTATGGATAGCAGTGGGACTTGGTTTCAATTGGATTTTGTTTGTTGTAATAGGAAAGGGTTACTATGAATTATTGCTTTTTAGCTTACTCTGGAAATACAAGTCTCTCAAAACTCAAATGAACTGGATTTCTTTCCCCTTCCCTTCTCAATATGCCCCACATGACATCGCTCAAACTTCATCTGAATGAAAATTAATCTTTCATAAAAGCATAAGTGCTTCGCTTTGACATTTAGCTTCCCCCCACACCCTTACTCAGAAAACATTTCCATGTGAATTTGGTGCCATGTTTCAACTCTGGCTTTTGCCTTGAATCCTAAGCAAATGAGAAAGTGTTGATGTGCTGTTTCTGGAACAGATCACAAAGCAGATTGGCATCATGGTGGTTATGGGGCTTAGCCCAATTCCACCCACATGTACAGAAGGCAATGTCAAAGACAGCTCAGACTGCTTTCTTTCTTGCAAAGTTATCTGCATTACAGATTGCTATTGCAAAGGAGAATGGACAGATGCTGTTCATCCTTATTTTCTTGCCTAGACCATGGTTCAGCCTTGAAATGTCAGATGTTTGCAAGAATCAATACTAAGTTTGTTTTATTTCTCTTCCTTTTAAAAAAAGTATATAGCCTCTTTTTCAGTCCTATTAGTGTACTTAGTAGATGCAGGGTATTAGCTTTTCCAATAATTTCTTATGCTCATGGAATGTTTCAGTTTTAAAAGTACCATATACACTCATGTATAAGTTGACCTCATGCATAAGTTGAAGGCATTTTGGTGGCCAAATTCATGGATTTTGAAATAAGTTATAGTTAAGTTGATGTTGTAAAATATCATGATGGTGCAATGGGTTAAACTCTTGTGCGGGCTGAACTGCTGACCTGAAGTTTGGTGGTTTGAATCTGCAAGATGGGTTGAACTCCCGTTGTCAGCTCCAGCTTCCCATGTGGGGACATGAGAGAAGCTTCCCACAGGATGATAACGTATTTGGGCATCCTCTGAGCAACGTCTTTGCAGATGGCCAATTTTCTCACACAAGAAGCGACTTACGGTTTCTGACATGATTTTAAAAACCAATGCTGCCTTGGGTCCAGCCACAACAGCCACCACTGCCATTTCCCTGACCCAAAGTGGTGCCTTGGTGGAGAGAGTAGAGGAGGTCAGTTCTTCTTTTAGGTTCTCCCAGGTTGGACTAAACTCTTGCATTTGCTATTGTACTCAGAAAAGGGAATAGTTCCTTTTCTTTTCTTTTTTTTGGATAACAATCAATATACACTGACTTGTGGATAAGTTGATCCACGCTTTTTAGACTGATTTTCTGACTAAGGTATATTAAAAGCATACATTCTGTGTCACTGTTTTTCCCAAACACATCAACTCATTTCTTTTTATTTTTTGACAATGTACTTTAGTTATGTAAGTAGAAAAATCATAAAAACTAGAAAGCAAAGTAATAATGGAAGTTTGTTTTGTATTTTTTTTAAACAGCAGCAGCAATTTACTTGGATTATCCACAAGCAATCAGGGGAAGAATGCCTGGCTTCTGAAAAATCACAAGGGTAAATCTTTGTTGTTTTCAGTAGTTAACATTAAATGTTAAATAATTGTCACTGAATAAAACATTAGGTTCATTTAAGATTTAGCAATATTTGTGGAGATATATTTTCTTATATGGCTTGTATAAAAGTTTTCAAATCTTCAAAAATGTTTTTAATTCTGCCTCTAAGTAAAGCAAATCATAGTTGCTAGTTTGCATTACCATTGTATGCAAAAGCGGTCTTCATAAACAATCAATTTATTTTGAAGCATTACATTTACATTTTAAACATTACATGCTATTTCACTAATGTGAAAACTTTCCCAGACACCATTTTCTTGCCTATCTTCTAGCATGAGGAAGACCCAGTGGGGTTTTTTGAGTTTATTGTTTGGTACAGCAGATGCAAAGTTAGGTATAAAAAAGGTAATATTATGGGAAATGAGAACTATTCTTCGCTGAGAATAGTTACTCTGCTCAATGCATTTATTTGGCGGTGGAGTTGATACAGCGATGTAACTCTCGCTGTTCCTCTGTTCCTTCAGACCTTCCTTCATTTTGTTAGCACAAAGAAACTTGAAAACTGGGACTTTATGTCATTAGAGCTCATACGGAGGACTTGTTTCAGATTGAAAGCTGTTAACATCATGCCTCATTCAGCTGCTGTTATTGCAAGAACAGAAAACAGTGCAATCCTATTCTTGTTGACTCAGGGCCCTTCCACACAGCCCTATATTCCAGAATATTAAGACAGAAAATTCCATAATATCTGCTTTGAACTGGGTTATTTGAATCCACACTCAGATAATGTGGGATTTCCTGCCTTGATATTCTGTGATATAGGGCTTTATGGAAGGGTGCTGAGTTATCTGGGTCCACAGTGCCATATAACCCAGTTCAAAGCAGATGATGTAGGATTTTATATAGTTGTGTGGAAGGACCTCAGAAATAAATCCTGTCATGATCATACATTGGGTTAATGGAACTTAACCCCAGATCATAGAATCGTAAAAGTGGAAGAGACCTCCAGGGCCATCCAGTCCAACCCCCTGCCAAGAAGCAGGAAAATCCCATTCAAAGCAGATAATTGTGAGCAGGTTTGCAGCCTCAGTGAATGAATCAGGATAAACCATGTAACAGCAGGTTTAAGTGACAGCGTTATGTAATCAATAGTGGTTTCTCTTTATCTAATGTGACTGAGCAGCAGAATCCTACATTTGTGACCACTGACTATCATTCTTTCCATCTTAGAAACCCACTAGAGACCAGCAACCAATAGATTGGGGACCAGTGCTAGTCCAGGGACAAACACTGAGTAGCAGTTGTTTACAACAGGGCTAGACAAATAATGGCCCTCAAGAAATTAATGAACTGCAGCTCACATTAGGTCTACCCAATATAGGTGGTGAGAAATCCTGGGAGTTTTAGTCCTGCAGTTAGTCCTGGAACACCACATTGTGTTCAATCTTGTTTTTTTTAGTTATAGTTCTTTGGTTGGGGGGGAGGAGGAGGTTAATGTCTCTTATTCTTTTTCTCTGTCTTACACACACACACACACACACACAGAGAGAGAGAGAGAGAGAGAGAGAGAAAACTATATTCACTTGCAAGTTTAGAAAATTTAGTAAAAAAAGTTGACACCAAAAAACTGGGTTAACTTATATGTGAGTTAATGTGAGTACTATACTGTGCTGTAGTCATATATTAAAAAAAGGAACAATCCACTTCTCTGAGTACAGTGAGCTCCTGGTATGGGTCATATCAAAATTCAAATTTTCACAAGAGCATATCTGCATGCATATATTGTGTGTTAAGTTATATTGGGATTATTATTGGTGTGGCAAAATAAAATTCAAGCTTGCAGTTCATGGAGAATAGTTCTGGGACTTGTTAGTACAGAACTTGATCAATTGTTATGTAGGACATGAATAATTTTTAAAAGTTGCCATGGTAAGTGTGAATGCAAATTCAATCCATGGTAAGCATAAAACCACAAATTAAGGGAATCAAAAATCCACTTTGTCCCACTTAACATGACCTTCATATTTTTGGATGGACATTTATGTAGTGTAACTAGATAAGAATGACAGTTGTAATTAATATTACTGCCATTACAGACTTTTTGCTACCTAAGTTATGCTTTGAGAAAAATGCATTCATTTGAGAAAGATCAGTTTATTATGAGTCACTGAGTCTGGTTATTCACTGTAAAGGCACACAAATTAATTTGGATATGGAAATATATTTCCTGCTTTATGGCAAGCCATGTCTTCAACACTTTCACTAAGTAGGAAGCACAGTAATTTGGATGTATACAAAGGCTGCTTATTCCAAATATTTCATGCACATAAATGTTTTAAACATGAGTTGACAGAGACATTTTGCATAAAATGTGCTACAATGCAACTGCTTTTTAAAAACAAAACAAGGTTGTTCTATTTGCCTGTTAAGTCAGCTCTTGCAGTTCTTAGAAATGTCATTTATTAAATGTCAGGCTAATTGCTTGTAATATCAACCCTGAAAAGCAAACCTTTGTGAGTGATCTTTCATAAGCTTTATTTTTCTCTGTTCTGTCTGTCTGGTACATTTTGATGAGAATAAACAAACAAGATTTACCTTTGATAGAGCATTACTGGCTAAAAGTTTAAAGCTGGTGGGTGCAGTTAAGGATATTCATTTGGGAGAATTAAAAAAACCCACATACTCATTTTTAATTAATCACATACTTTAAAAGTAATCTGATGAAATTAATATCCTAGGACAGACAGTATCATTTGGCATCAATATTGTACAACTTGAACCAGATTAATAAGTTGAGAACGTAGTTCATTCTTCATATTTATTTATTTTTATTTACTTTATTTATGCCCTACCTTCCTCCCAAGGGAACTTAAGGCAGCTAACAGTCACACACTCGGATCTCTTTAAAACAAAGTAAATAGAAATATTAAGAAACAATTAAACAGTATTGTGTGTGTTAGGTTAAAAAATACAATTAAAATACAATTAATACAATTAAAATGCATTTTAACACCCCCCCCCCCCCCCCCCCCCCCCCCCCCCCCCCGCAATCCTACCCACAACCTCCCCAGCAATGTTTGGCTTGGTTTGTCATCTTCATACATGGGCAATAACAAGATAGTTGGAGGTCCATCTAACTCCCATTTCTAGAGGGTCATGGGGAGAAAGCGGGAACTCTTTTACTAGGGGCATTTCCACAGCATCAAAATGTGCGATAAATAAGTGTGGCAAAAAATTGTGGGACCTGACATCAAGTCCAAAACTAGATCCTTTTGCCTTCGGTGATTTTTGGAATTCATATTCAGTGTTGATGATTGCTTTTTCTTAAGATCCTGGAAATCTAGCTCATGGATATAACTATGAAGCAGTTTTTTCATACTGGGTTTTGCTGGTACTTTAGTTAATGTTTAGTCTGCTTATTTTGAACACTATTTTGAAACTGTTTTCAGTATTAGATACTCTTTTCTTAATAAACTTATTATTGTTGATCAGTGTGGTGTTTGCGTGAAAAAGGGATCAAACAGGTGGCTGGGCCACAACAGAAAAGGAGCCAGTGGCTGTAGTGGCCACAGATTCTTCCACTTTCCTGAAAGCAAGGACAGGGCAGGGTGGCATTGCAAGGTGAGCCTTTGTTCTTGAACCTCAAATTTAACAAATGTCCCTTCATTAGCAAATGTCTGCTGGAGGCTTAATGAGTTAGGCAAAATTGTTTGTCTGTAGCATAAATTAACACAAAATTCTCATATGTGTGAGAATTTTTGTGCATGAAGAAAATGGGTTCATTTCAGAATTGCCACATCTTTCATAATCATTGGGTCCAGCAGTGAGACACACAGAATAATCATTTTAGAAAACACTTGTCGTTGGAAGCATTGCAGATTGGCATATGTTCTTATTCTGGCAGATAGCTCACGTATTATGATATCAGCCAAATTAAGAGAATGAAACGGAAACTGAGTGATACCTTCTGCTGTAAAGGAAGGATAAATGAGACTTCTTTCCCTTCAATATATTCTCAGTTGAATTAATAGAATAATGGGGATGAAATTTCCTTGGTCCTATTTGGATGGGTTTTCTAGTCCTGCTCAAGGGATGTGAATATACTTAAGATGAGGAAGGCAATTTCTCAAACAACATGTATTGACAACATCGTTTTGTGAAAGTTATCCCTCTAACTATGAAATAGATTTTGGCTAGCTTACCAAACTAATTTCGAGTGGTTTGTTTTGCATGTACTTTATTGTGATGTGTCATAATCACTCTTGTTCTCTGATTGTAATATATTGGATTGTATGCATGATGCTGGAGGTGATGTTATTGTATGCAAAGTTGTCAAAGTGTACTGATTTGGAACTTGATTGTTGAGTTTTTCCTATGTTTTGGTGTTTCTCAACCTGGGGTCCTTAGATGTTTTTGGTCTTCAACTCCCAGAAATCCGAACAACTGGTAAACTGGCTGGTATTTCTGGGAGTTGTGGGCCAAAAACATCTGGGGATCCCAAGTTGAGAAACACTGTCTTAGATTCAAAGTGGAGTTCATGTCAATTGTCCACATGGAAGTAGTTAGATAGTTTAGACCCCAACCTCCCTATCTAGAAAATGTAGTTATTTTTAAATAAACCTTTTGAAACTTTAAGGTTGATTCTGCTACTCTCATTTCTTAAGATCAATGTTCCTTCTGCCACATATATGCTTCCTGCTCTGCTAAGAAATCTGCTGTGCTTTGATCTTTTAAATACTATTTCTTTTTGGGAATTTTCCCCAACATCTATCTATCCACTCACTCAACCCATGGTATATGAAGTGCAAATCCCATGCATTTTAACTCAGTTTATTGAATTCACTGGAGATTAGTCTTAGCAAAGGGTGTGTAGGTTTATAATCTAAATCGATGAAGTGATTACAATCTTTGAATTAGTCAAAAAGATGCCCGTAATAATTAAGGGAACAACTTTTTTTAAAGGATTGAGATCCTATTTTGTCAGATGTAACTACAATGATGGCACTCCCATCTCCCCAAAATGTACCATTTCAGCCTAGCAGTCAACCAAGGATTTTTCTGAGGTTCTTCAGATCTGGGTGCTGGAAAATGACATCTGCAGTGCAATTCTGTTTGCAGAGAGCATTGAGAAGAGGCAACTGGAGACCCCTCAGAGTCCTGCCTTAACTTCTTGTCTAAATATATGTCCTGCAGTTGTCATTTCCTAGTGCCAAAATCTGCAGTGCCTCAGAAACCCTTTGACTGGTGCAACATCAGACTGAAACAGTAGGATTTTGGGCTCGCATTTGTTCATTAGACTGTGAAAGTGTTTTCCCAGCACTTACATGAGTTTAAGCCTGAGTTTATCATTCATACTGAACAGAATGGCAGCCATTGTTAATTGCATCTAAAAGTAATGCTATTCTAATGTAAATTATAATGCAATGTTATTCTTTTTTTTAAAAAAAACAAAAACAAATTCCAATACACTGCAGAGAAGATTTCTTTTCTTTTTGTAATTTTAAAGTTTTTATTGAATGCATTAATGACATACAAAATATAAAAAAAGAAAAGCAGAGATAATCAAGTACACATAATACAGACATGCCATCCCCCCCAAACAGATATATTGCAATATATTCTAACAAATCTTTTCCCTCCTACCTCTCACCCGTGAACCCACCACCCATGACCTCCGTCACTACTCACTGTGTGCAGAGAAGATTTCAACAAGTATAGATAAAAATTAAACTGAGGAGTATAGCTTTACCTCTCCCAAAAAAAAGAGTTAACGAGAGTTTTAGTCATATTTTTTGGATCCCAACATCACTTGGGAGCAACAGAGGCCACAAGAGACTATTTCCCCATGAGGTTTGGGGAGAAGCTAAGAAGCTTTGAGATGCCTCCAAGATTAGAGATTAGGAAACACAGTGCCAGAAAATACAATAAGGCTGAAGCTGACTGAGATACTTTGGTACTGATGGAGACGCAGGGGAGATGCCACCTGCCTCTTGACTTTAGGAAAATTCGGTTGCAGACTGGACAAAATGGTTCCCGCTTCCCATAAATATCTAAAAAACAGAACACTACCTGCTCTGCGAATAGAATAGGAATGTTCAGCTAGTCATGTTAGGGTTTATATTTCTTTCTCACCTGACCTGAATATTAGGAGGAACTTTCTGACAGAAGTAGCTGTTAGACAAAGGAATGCACTGCCTTAGAATGTGTTGAGATCTTCTTTTTTGAATTAACAGGGTCTGGATGGTCATCTGCTAGGAGTGCTTTCATTTTGTGTTGAACTGGCAGGGGGTTGATCTGGAACTCATTGAATCCAACACTATGAATTGATAACTTTTATTGTTTTGTAACTTTGTAATGCCTGAAGGAAGATACCTTCATAGTCAATGTATTCTTTTACTAATGTGAGATTGCTTGCTTGGAATAAAAGCTTTCCTTTAAATATATCCTATTTTCCATGCTCTCTTCACATTCTTTTGCTTTATTTGTGCACACAGTTTATAGAAGTCACATCTTCTATGGGAGTAGGAAGCAAAATCTTTGCAGGGTGCAAAGTTGAAAAAAGTTCAAGTTAGACTCTTCATTAACTTCCCACTAAGTCACTGAGTCACGTAGGGTAAATTAATAGGTGGTAGTACCTATGTAGAATTTGGGGTCCTCTCTTCTAATCAAGAACTGGAGACAAGCTCAAAGACGGACCAATCCTTCTTAGAAGATAAATTCATTTCATGGACAAACAGTAAATAGAAAGCCTTCAGGTTCCCTGATGTGGATCAGTTGGTGACATATCTTTTAGATCTTGCAACTCACTAATTTACATTAAAAGAATGAGAAAATGCATATCTGCCAGAATTTATTAGACATAATGTATTTTAATGGTTCAGTGATCTAACATCACAGAAATGCTTCTCACAACCTGGGATCATGGTCCTTAATAAGTAGTTCATAAAAATAATGAATAGAAGTGTAGCCATTTATATAAGAAAGTATTTTTATTTACTCTGTTATGTTGTTTAGTTTTAAACCAGTCTAACTGTTCTCATCAACTTTTCACAACATAACTGTTCCAATAATTAGGATTTGAATGGACGCAAGATCCTCCCTCCTCATTATTCTAATTATACAGATAAACTGGTAGCTGCTCATTCTATCTCCAAGCACCTAATTGTTTGTAAGTGCCTAAAGATTAATGCTAAATGTCCAATTAAAAAAAACATTAAAGTATTGTGGGAGTTTAAGAAAGATAGCACACATTTTGAATTAAATGGTCACTAAGGAATGCAATACTTCAGAAATCAGTGGGCTCTTCCCAATTCTTTATTGCTTTGCTGCTTTGCCTGATGTAACACTATCAAGGATTACAGCTATGGATGTTTTAAACTTGGGAAGGGAATTAAAGAAGCATGGAATAGCTTCAGTGGAGCTTTTGACAGGCACTAGTGAGATAGGAATTTATTATACTTTGAGAAAATTACAAGGAAACTGCACTTGTATTTTCACCTTGACATCCTGAAGCACATATGTTACACAATTTAACCCATCACTGCCTGAACACCCGTATCATTTCTAGTTTAAACAGACATCCCTCAATCTGACATCCTTAAATCTGACATCCCTCAAATAAGTTAAAGGCATGTATGTTGTTATTATAAACATATTTACATGGAAGAAAGTCTTTTTGAAGTCATTAGGAATTATTTTCTGTGTAGGAATGCATAGGATTGCACAGATAGTCTAAAGACCTCAACACATTAGTTGCCCTAACACAGGCAACAGCTGTGGGATTCACCAGGCATAGCAAAGAATCTGTGGGGCAGTGGGGGAATTCATCACTCTATGCTCCACATCACTCACATTGCTACCTTTCTCATCATACTGGCAAAAATGTTGTTGCCTGGCTTTCCCCCATGATTGCCCTGTTGCTGGCAACAAAAACATGGGAAGCCTTTCATGTTTTCATTTTTCTGTCCTAGGATGCTTTCAGCACAGTTCGGGGATGGAGCCTTGCCGGAAGTAGCTGTGTGTGTCATTTTATGGGATCCTGCGGGCTCCATCCCTGAACTGTGCTGAAAGTGTCCTAGAACAAGTAAGTTTGCTCATGTGATGAAGTCCTAAGTGTTTGTGAGCTCAAATATTCTGAAAAGCAAAGACAGGGTAGTTGATTTATGAAGGGGAAACAATGGACCAAAATTTATAGTTAGTGAATACTTAGGAACAACCAAAAAGTAACAAGAGAGTCTTCAAACTAGAAATCTTCATTAGGCTATGCTGGCAGGTTGCTCTATTTACCAAAGTCCAAGACATCTTTCCTGGAATATCCAATATTATTACCATGATATATTTAAATAATTATGTGCTATGATGTTTTTAGTTTAGATCTGTGCTGCCTGATTACAAAGTTATGGGATCTAGATTAACGGAATGCCCTTATGTCAGTGTTGAGTTGTGCACAGCAAAATTTAAAATAATCTACCATGGAACAGAGCTGCATAAAATTGTACAAGAAGTATCATCAAAGTCCAGCTTGTGGATGGAAAGGTTGAGTTCTCAACAGCAGAATTATGCTAAGAGTCCATTTGGCTCTGCCAACACTGGAGTCTATTCCTATGCCTTCACTGAACATTTGAACAAGAGTTCTGCTTCAGCTTACTTCAGTATCTAATTTTCTACTGTAAACAAGTCTGGGGCTGACTACATGTTCAGGCGTTGTTAGGGTAACCAAGAATTCAGACAAGAATTGATGTATCTCTCAATAACTGTGCCAATAACCATGATGCTTAATTCTGTTGAAATCTCAGTCATTTGATCATTCATTGGTAAGTGCATGTCTTCTAGAGTCAGTGTTTCCGAATGCATTGCTATAATTCACACTCCTTTTTTTTGACCTGTTGCCTTCTAATTCATAGTCATATAGCTGTAAACCCTCAATTTCTAAAGTTGGTCTGAATAAAACAATGTTGTTTTCTGCAGCCAAAGAATGAAAATAATCTATAAATAAAGATCATGATTTTCATGGAACATAATCTATGAGTTTTTGTATCGTTGAAGAGTTGTGAAGAACCTAGATTTTTCAAAGATGATCTGGGAGAATGCAATGGAAACATTGGCTTATTTCAGAGTTCTGGAAAAGACACATGTCTCTGAGCATCTTTAGTCACTTTCCTTATAGCATCCATGAAACAGAAAGACTGAACATGCCTTTAAAAGAAAGTTTGGCAATGTTCACTCTCTATCTGTATGAATGTGGAAGTTATTTGGATCACACTCCCTCAACAGTAAGTGTCTCATTCTGTGTCTTATGATGGTTTATAATATTTTAGCATTCTTATCAATTACATTTGTTTTTTTTTCTCGTAGGAAAGATGTATCAAGACTGGAGAGGGATAATAGTATCAGAGACCACAACTCCCTACACAATGCTCAGCAATAAGGAACATCAAGAAAGATTAAGTAGTATTACAAGAAGAAAAAGAGCCAAGGTTGGATATGAGACTGATTTCCCCCAGCCACCAGGGTCTAAGGGAAAAAACAATAGACTACAGACTAGGGTCTCTGGGCAGTAATAAAGAAATGGCAATCGTAAATGTTGTCCTATAACAATAATTTCCATGTATTTTGTTGATCCATGTTAAAGAATGAAGATGTTGCTACTATGATCCTTGAGAATTCTAGCTTTGCTTCTATATTTTCAAAAATATGGAAACATTCAGTCAAGGATCTTGCCTGGTCCCTGCATTTAGTGCTACTGGGAAATAAAACTGAAGTACATCTATGATATCACATGTAGGTTGGCACTTAGATAATGTGTGCTAAGTAACTTTTATATCTGAAAAAGTGCTAGCAGTCACATTATGCAGAAAGAGTAGAGAAGGTATAAGGTAATTTTATATGTTATTATAGAAATAATGTGGCATTGCACTTGGGTGGCCTGTGTGGTCTCTTCCCACTATGATTCTGTGATGCTATGATTCAGCATTTTAGAATCTGCGGGGAAAGAAAAAAAGGATTCTAACAGCTCAAGAAAAATAGTATTGTAATATCACAAGGTTCTCTTCTGCAACATAGGGTCTTTAATGTAGAGGTGATGAGAATAGAAAGGAATAGGCTGTCCTCCTCATATGCACAGCTTACACACTTTATCCTGAAAAATGCTTGAATACTCGTAGCTTTGAGCTAACAATGGTTCACACACAATGAACTCCTTTGTTCTTAGGAAGCCCTGTTCATTGTACGTCTTTGTTAGGTGCAATATAGCAACGGTGGGCAAGTGGGATTAGCTGGGGACCACTTTTCCTTAGATGCCCATGTTAACTGCCAAAAATGGACATGTTTGGATAGGCATTTCTGGTTTTGAAAAATTGGTATTTGTAGATATTAAAATATGGTAGGAGTTCCAGCATCTTGTTGAAAAAATGAATTGTCACTCATGATGACTTCTAGAAGAGATAATTCATCCTTTTATGGGTGTTGTAGAAAAATGAGTGGATCAGGGAGTGTGGAGGAGTTGCAGCCCACAAAAATAGCTTTGGTCCACATGCAGCCCCAGGGATGTGTTTGGCCCACCCTGTCTAAACAGGAAATAGTTCATACTTAAGCAATTTGCTAGTTATATAAAACTGAGATGAAGAGCTCTTTTGTGCGACACAATTATGGTACTATGATTCTGATTTAATTTCAATGACAATTATCTCATGGAATCCTGGAGTCTGCAGTTTATTCCTAACTGCCATTAAGTTGATGACAACTTCTGGCAATCCTGTGAATGAGAGACCTATCCTCAGCAACCCTCCTGAGGTCTTGTAGGCTCAGGGCTGTGGCTTCTTTGACTGAGTCTGTTCATCTGTAATGCAGTTTTCTGTTTTTCCTACTGGCTTCTATATTATCAAGCATTATTGGGAGTCATATTTTCTAATGATACATCCAAGGAATGAGTCTCAATTTAGTCATTTTGGTTTTTAGGTAGATTTCAGGCTTGATTTGTTCTATGACCCAATAATAATAATAATAATAATAATAATAATAATAATAATAATAATAATAATAATTTATACCCTGCCTCCATCTCCCCCAAGGAGACTCAGGGCAGCTTACATAAGGCCACGCCCATCAATACAGTAAAACACAATATAAACACAAAACACAACAAAAAATCAGAAACTAAATTACATAAGATGCAAAACCAATATAAGTAAACAACACAGCAGCATAAAATCAAACATTTAAACACAGATGATCACACTGGGCAGGGCCAAATTCAAGGGTAAAATTTTAAAACACTGGGAGATAGGACAATGTAAAAACCAGGGAGGAAATCTGAGGATGAGGTAGGATTTAATTTCACGAACCATAAAATAAAGTGCTTCTGAGGTCATTTTACGCAGAGTTTGGTCAGGGAGTATCTTACATTCAATCATTGAAGGCATATTAGAATAACCAAGTTTTCAGGCTCCTCCTGAAGATTGTCAGGTAGTGATAGTTTTTTTTTCTTTCTGTTTGGCTTTCTTCATTGTCCAGCTTTCACAGCCATATATAGAAACTGCAAATACAGTATTCAATGATATGTCTATATGTTTCTGGGTCTTGGTCAATTCCTTCATAACTGCCTTCCCAAACTCTAACCTTCTTCTAATTTCTTAACTGCTTTATTTGATGATGAATGGTTGAGCCAGTGTATGAAAAATCTCAAACTTTTGTCTTCATTGTCCACCTTAAAATGATCTAAGATAGCTGTAGTTATTTTTTATTTTCTTAAGTTCAACTCTAAAATTAACTGCCTTTGCACTTTCTTCCTTGATATTAATCAGTAACTGTTCCAATACTTTATTTTCTGCCAGCAGTATTGTGTCATCTGCATATTTTAGATTGTTGATGCCCATTCCTCCAGGTTTCACATCTAATCCTATCTTATATTTTCAACTAGAGAACTTTAGTGTTGCACCAAATAACAAACCCCAGGATTCTTTAGGATGCAAGGATGGTAGCTAAAATGAAGCTGTAATTATGTAGTTTGAAATGGTCCCTATATAACTTTAGAATTTCGGATTAAGTGTTAAATGTCAATACAACTTCATCAGGGCTAACCTACATGTAAAAGAGTTCATTGTTTCACTAGAAGAGAAATCAGAGTACTCAATTCCTTCAATTAAAGTCATAATAATAATTAGAGATCCCTGTTGTCATGATGCTTAATTGACAGAGGCACCTAATCTAAAGTGGGTTGTTAACTTTGAGTTCTTGTGTAATTATTTGAACAAACTCAGCAGAAGAGATAACACCATATCTCATGTAGAAACAAAGTCAATTCATTTACTGAACTTTGCAACTGAGCATTTAACATGTTATCTCTCTTAGGCTGTTATCTCTCTGGCTGAATTTGTGAAAACAGGCTCTAATCATTCAGCAGCAAAGAGCTATTCACGGAGAACTATTTACATAAGAAGTGTATACAGCTTCATTTATAAAAGTAGCCTATTTTACGGGCAAAGGGATTGATTATAAAGAGAAGTACAGAGGATTCATATTCTATCCTGCCAATGATTAGAGGAGCTGCCTGAGTAAATATTGCTGAGCTTATAGAGCTTTCAGTGTATTTCTTGTTTCTTGTTCTCCTTTCAATTAGATTTTTGCTCAAAGGCTACATACCTGAAAGAGATTTTGTTGTACACTTGGTTGAACTAATGGTGTAGTAATTGTGAACTAATGTCAAGAAAAACAGAGCCAATGAATGTAAGGATCTGCAGATGTTTCTGTATTGCAGCTTGCATCAGTCAATGAGGAGGGATAATGGGAATTGTAAAAAAAAAATATACTGAAGGACCCCATCCTCCAAAGCCCTGGAATGCTTGGACAAAATGTAAAATTAAAGCACAGGAAACTGGTTTACTACACACCATAGCATTATTTTAAAAGTTGTATAAATATATGTATTAAAATGTATTTGTTAAAAGATATGTACCCATCAATTGCCTTTCTGGCTGTGCAGATATGATTATTATTAAAATGAAAACAAGGACTCGTGTTTCCTGCAATTCAGGTGATCCCAACCATGGTGTAATTTATTGGTCCTTGCTCTTGAGAGATCTCACTTTAAAAGTGTGAAAAGGAGAAGACTTCCTCAGACCCTATCATGGAAGTATTGAAGTCAGGATTTTAGGTCCCCTCAAGTATTTCAGCCCCAGAAAGTTCACTTTAATACATCTGTTTGCTTCTTCACCACCTCTTGATACTCAGTATTGGTCTTCTCAATCTAAGCTGTCCAGACGAGTTAAACTATGAGTAGTAACTTCTGATTATGTAACATGATGATATAAAATATGAGGGACTTAAATAAAATACTTACTAACTAATTTACGAAATGCATGTATACTGCTATTTAGGCACCCAGAAACATGGCTGTTAAATGTATAATCCATCTGGCATATGCACAGTTTACTGATATCAGTAATAGTGTACATTTGTGCAGTGCTGAGTATTGCATCTCAAACCTTCTGGCTCTCCTCTTTTGCTACTGTGTTGTGATGATCAGAAATTTTACATATAGAAGTAGCAGACACAAATTTTATTTTTATTTATTTATCCTGTGTGTATTCTTGCCTTCAAGTCCTCTGACTTATAGAGACCCCATGAAATTCATAGCATTTTATTTGTCCAGGCCAACTCATTTGACCAGTGTTGATTGGCCCCAAGCCTGCACTGGGAAAATAACAAGATTCAGCTCTAGCCAGTAGCCAATGTAGCAGTGTGTGCCAATATATAACAGGCAAGATAAATAGTAGTTTCTTCCAGAATCCCTTAGTGCAGAATTTTTGAAACTCGGAACACACTAGTGTGTTGCCTGTAGTCGCTAGGCGTGTTACATGAAAAATTCTCCCCCCAGCCCTCGCAAACAAAGGCTCATGCTAAACAAGAAGAATGGGAAAAAATTTGGAGAGAAAAATTAAAATACTGTTATGCCATCGATCTGAAAGAAAATTGGCTAAAGACAGCCCATCGTTGGTATATGACCCCGAAGAAGTTAGGGAAATGTAGCAGAAATTCTAATACAGACTGCTGGAAATGTAAGGAGGAGGAGGGGTCATACTTCCATCTCTGGTGGACATGCAAAAAGGCTAAAGAATATTGGAGAGGGGTACAAAAAGAATTACAAGAAATATTAAAAATAAAAATACCATGGAAAGCAGAATTTTTTCTTTTGGGGACGCATGATCTAAAGATTGAAAAGAATACAGACAAAATCATCTTTTTGTTGACAACGGCAGCAAGGATCTGCTACGCTAGGAGATGGAAAAAGCAGGAAATACCAGATGAAGATGAAAGATTAACAAAAATTCTAGAAATTCAAAATATGGACAGACTTACATTCCTAATATCAAAAAGTAAAGGGATGAACATGAAAGAAACAAATTGGAAAGAGGTAATGGACTACTTCAGACATAAAAACAAAAAGATC